CTGGTAGAGCAGTAACAGAAAAAGATTTCCAAATATCAGAGTGTATTAGGTCAATGACTTGGGTGACTAGTGCATTTAAAGAATATAACTGATCTGACTATGTTTCGATAGGGAACATATAGCACAGTCAAGTTTACCACCAACACAAGCATTGCTCAAAGTAAGAAATAACATATATAAATATTTAAAATTTGTATGTCCAAAATGGTCATGCTACAATTGAACAATTTGTGATGAAAAATCATAACGACAAATGTTGACATAAGTATATCCAATCAAGAAGTGATAGCATTCATATCACTCTGCCAAGGAGTAGTAGCAATAGCAGTAGTAACAGGTGCAACGGCCGTAGGTGGTGGTGCCTCAGTAATGGCAATAATATAGTTGCGAGAAAACGGCTTAAGTAAGCAACCCTAAGATGTCCTAGTTGACCACAATAATCACACTGACGAGTAACCACTTATCTACGTTGATCTGGGGCACCCTGACGGCGCTAGTCCAAGCACTGTCCACCCTTAACTGAGGGTCCTGAACAAGACCTTGCAGCAGCTCCAAAGGCCATTTGGTCAGCCTGAGGAGTCAAGGTCATAACTAAAAATGATGCAATACGAACACGGTGCTCATGCTGCTTAATCATCGTATACGCCCTATAAAGGGACGAAAGTCTCAGCATCGACAAGATCTGTAAACAAGGTCCCTCAAACTCATCACAAAACCCCGTAAAGAACTTATGAAACCTATGAGTATGCAAGAATGCTACTCCCTCGGGCTCTATCCTCGAATAACAACAAGAGGACGTAGAGTCTCATACTCAAGTTAGCGCTAGATCAAATAGCCATAATAATCCTAAATCGTTATAAACTTTTTAAGGAGAAGCAAAGTCAAAAAAATTTTAAGGCATCCAATTGATGAGATATACAGTAATAAGAATTGCATCACTCCAAAAGGACTCGGGTCACCCATAATAAACATCAAGGATGGCACCACTTCAAGGAGATATCGATTCTTCCTCTTGGCTACACCGCTTTATTCAAGTATATCCACACAACTAGATTGGTAGAGAATTTCATGTTCTATAGCACAAGCCTAAGACTCTCCATTAAAGTACTCAGTCCTATTATCAATTATAAGAATCTTAATTTTGGCATCAAACTGAGTATTTACCAATTTATGAAAATTCTTGAAACAAGTAAACACTTTATCCTTGCTATGCAATAAATAAACTCAGGCAGCCCGAGTGTAAAAGCCAATAAAGGTAACAAATTATTGATATCCAACAAGAGAAAAAACATGAGATGGACCCCACACATCAAAATGATTAATCATGAATGTAGCAATGCTTCTATTACTATTACTAGGATAAGGATTTCTTGTGTACTTGGAAAATTTACAAGCATTATAAAAAAAGTTATTTTTATTACATTATTTCACCAAAAATGAGAAAAACTTCTTTAATACTCCAACTAATAGATGACCAAGTCGTCAATGCCATTGATACAATTTACTAGAAGCCTAAAATGCATGACGAAGCTTGTCCTCCAGTAGGCACAAACCACCTTGAGCTTTATCACTACCAATCATTCTCCCATTTTCCAATTCTTAAAAGGCACAATGAGAAGAGAAGATGTTACATAACAATTTAAAGACTTTGTAATACTATTGACTGAGAGTAAATTAGTAGAAAAGTCGAGGGCACAAGAACTACGACAATAGAAATGGAACAAGATGTAGAAGAAGTATCAAGTCGAGCTATCAAATATTTGAGATCATGCATCTTATCTACAGTGCAACTCGCACTATCAGTACCAGTTGATAGAGACGGACCAATGAAGGTGGAGAGAAAATCAACAATCTCAGTCATATGAGCATGTGAACGGACCAGCCATATTACCATCACGCCCCCTAGGAGGAAGATCATGTAGCTTCCAACAATGGCCTTTAGTATGTCTCGTCTTTCCACAATAATCATATTTTAATAGATCCCTTTCAAAACTCTCATTTTTATAAGCACCGTGAGGTTGAAAGAATCTGTTTTCTCTCTATGTAGTAGTTGCTAGAGTAGATCGATCCTGGGCAGGGTTATCAAGCACGACACTTCTCTTACTCTCCTCCTGATGAACATAAGCATATGCTTGCCTTAAAGAAGGAAAAGGATTTCTACCAAAAACACTGTATACGGATTTAATCATACTCCATATTGAGACATGAAAAAAAATCATATACTTGTTCCTTCTTTATCAATTTTTAACATTTAGCACAATCTCCATTACATTCTATTTGAAAATCTTGGTAATAATCCAACTCTTGCCATAAATTACTCAATCCTGCATAATACTCTAAAATAGTTATATCTCTCCGTTTGATTTCATGAATTTTCTTTTGGACCTCATAAATTTGGGCATTATTTCCAATCCGTGACTATGCCTAAGCCGTAGCTGACCAAATCTTATGGGTTTTCTCAAGAAGTAAAAAAGAGGGACTTATGTGAGGCTGGATCGAGTTAAGTAACCATGTCAACCAACCTTTCTTAGTACCAATAAATTCTGTACCAACTCTCAACATACCTATTCAGCAAAAAAGGAGCCTTTTCACATAGCCTAATCATTGAATAACATTTTGGGACTAACACAACACAAAAGAAGACCAAACTAGCAACCTACAATACCACAAACCCCTCACAAAAGCCACAGACTCATCATAGCCCTCAAAATAACAAGGCAGAACAAAAGATTGAAATATTCTCATTATGAACTGAGCAGGGCTAGTGTTTTTACAAGAAATCTCTAGCCACAAGCACTTCAACGGTCTTCTATGGTTATACGGGTATCCAAAGTACAAACGAGATGGATATTTATTGTCCCAACCATTACTTTGAATCCCAAAACCAGCAAGGCAAAAAAAGCAGCACTACCAAGACAAAAAAATGCATTGCCAAGACCCATTATGCCCAAAAACTCACACAAAAGCAATAGGCTTTGCACAGAACTCGATCAGAGTTGTTATAGGTCCTAGTAAGCACCCAAAGGCATATTAGAACAACTAGAATTGTCACAATCTCAACCAAACAGTAAATCGTGAAATATGAACCATAAATTCCAGAAAACATTCAAAATTTAAAAAACCATATCAAATGACTTCGAAAAATTCAAAAAAAATCACCATAATACTCGGGGTGAAAAATCGAGCCCACCCAAGTCGAGCTTGAGCAATTTCGTCCCTAACGTTAGTGATATCATCATAGAATGGAGATGAGGCAAGAGAAAAGAAGAGAGAATAGAATGATTATAATTAGAGTTAAGGATAATGAGAGTTAACTAATTTCTACTCCCATCACCCATATATATTAATTCATAATAAGGTACAAATTACAAGAATACCCTTCGTTAAATATCCTGACAGTCTACTTAACCTCAATTCAACAAAAAGTGAAAAAACCTAAAATCATCTTCCTGTATAAATCTTAAGCTTAAAATTTCATATTTGCACCACATTTGTATCAAATATAGTCTACAAATAACCCTCCTGCACTTGCAAATGTGTGTCCCGTACTTCTTGTAACCGGTAATTATATGATTATAAATGTGTTGATTTCAAATTTAAACAATAAGATCCAGCTATAGCTACAGCCAAGGGCATAATTTGGGTAGAAAACTTAACTATAGTTTCAAATACTTGGACTATCTTCCAAGGAAAAAAAATTCCCATATAATTTTTCATAGTAAAACACACTTCTGAATGAGGGTGGGCCTTGGCGCAGCACTAATGTTACTCCATTATGACCTAAATATCAAGGGTTCGAGTTGTAGAAATAGTTAGTCTACTTCAATTTGACCCTCTCTAAAACCCGCAACAGCGGAAGCCTCGTATACTGGGCGCCCCCTTTTTTAACATTAAAACATACATGAATATATTGACACAAATTGGAATATGCTCTATTTTCTCAAAATGTCATATCTGCATATCCACACATAGAATGCAATACAATTGTACTAGGGACATACCACTAATGGAGACTTCAATCCAGCCTTTTTCCCTTGATTGATCCTTAAGTGAATCCATTACTTCCAAGGATTCTAGAGCTCTTCCACCACATGTGAAATGCTGAATGACCGGTAGCAGGCCTTATGAAGAATAGTAATGCATGTTAGAGATCATTAATGCTCACAATGGCAAAACTGAAATTGTTGAGTACATAACAATGTTGTAGTGCTAACGAAGCATGCATACTATGCAAGGATTGTTTTTGTTTGCTTTCTTTTTGCCCCTTTTTTCTAAAGAGAAGAACCAAAAGCAACTCCCGATATGACACTCGTGGGAACAATGACTAGTTTCCTTTCGCTTTTGAGTTTCTTTTTAGAATCTTTAGTGGGGTGGGTAGATAAGAAACCTCAACAAAAGCACCCGCTGATTCTCACATTGTTCAGGTTATACTGCATAGCTGAACTAGTGCAATGACCTAAAAGTGTAAGCAACAGGAGGCATGTCTTTGTGGCCCCTACATAATCACCATCACACCAACAATTCCATAATTTGATCATCGAAGTTGCCAAAAACATGCATTTTGTGCCAAATGTTTCATCACAACATGCAAGTCATAGCAAATACAACCATTCTGTCACTGTAAGCCAAATATAATAAATGATTGAATCAAAAACTGTAACTAAATCCAAGGACAGGAAAACAATTAAGCAGACAAAGTCCTTATATATTCTCCTCTGTTCTGTTACATGCAATGAGAAACATTCACTTATTTTGAATTAAACATGTACAAAAGACGCATATTGAGACAGTATACATTTCGCTTTCGTTGTCTTCCTGATTATTTGCTGCTTGTGCGACTTGTTTATGCCTAAACTATCAGATAGAGCACTCAGATGTTAGGAAACACAAATGCTAATAATGCTTATAGTATTGCTCAATAACTATTTGCCCTGCAACACTATTGCCTACATTTTTATCAGCCTGTCAATTCTTCCATGTAATTACCAGTTTTTTTATCCATCAGTCACTGTCAAGAAACAAAGAAATTGAGAAACCCAAAAACATGACATTAGAGCCTACCCCTCGATCTTTTCTCAGCAGGGAGTTGTAAGTAGTATAAGCAGGCCACTTCAACCTTCATATGCTCTATGCTGAGCTTATCACCAACCATACATGAGTGCATTTCAACATGTACAAAGTCTTCATCAATTCTGAAGATTATATGTTGCTGCAACACCACAACCGGTAACAAATGTCATCAAATATGAAGGAAATGGTCTCAACATAACTGAAACAACATTGTATAATGAAGATAATAAGATAAGCATGCACAAGCAGTTCCACCTGTGTGACAAAGAGCACATAGGCTCTCCCACACACACTGTCAATCCCTGTCTTTCATACCTCTTGCATTTGGGGTACTGTGTAATAATAGGATCAATGCTGATGCATCTCCAGACCATATACCTGCTGTCAAAGTGTCGATCCCGTGATTTGTTGTGTTTTGGCAATCAATGGATCTATAGCAAGTATAGGGGCAGGACCACAAATATGACATGCACCCAGGGGCGGGGTCAGAATTTTTCCTTAATGGGGATACATGAAACTCGCTAATAAAATAAAATCATAATTCTACCCTTAATTGTCGCAAAAATATCAATTCCAAATAAGTTTTATTACTACAGGATCATTGAAGAAGGCTAATTAAAGACAAAACTCGCATATATGAGCGATGAACAAAAAGAGCCCACATAGAAAGCTTGCATCAAAAATCTCGTGTAGTCCTGTAATTACAATCAAATTATCCAAGAGATCGAAAAAACTTTTAAACCAAAAAAGGTAATCAAGAAATGAATTTGAGTCCATACATAAGGAGTTCCTAGAAGTCAGTTAAAACAATTTTATCCACCACAAGTAAATTTTGAAATTCAATCATAGAAACCTGATTTCATATTGAAGAGGGTCGTGAGATCAAGTTATATAAGGGAAGACATGTATATCTTTTAATTTATGAGAGAATCCCACTTATTTTCTAAAATTAAACCACTCCTAAATTTTTTATATTCTTAGTGGGGGCAAATTCTGAAAAACCAAAAATTTCCCAAAACAAAATCAAATACACACCAATTTTTTAAAAATTATAGTGCCCCCGCTGCCCCAATGTAAACCTGCCCTCCCTGCATGCACCCTCGATTGGAGCAAATGTATGAAAATAATAGCTTTAAAATTATAACCTTGAGACAAAACGTCAATGATAAACTTAATTGTATGAATGCATCTCGAAATAAGCCTACTCACACAGTGTTCAACATGACAAGCATGCAAACTGAAGTTGGAAGTATTTTTTTTATGTAACAGGTTTCCAGAGACGTCAGCATCAGATTTGGAGCCATTTGCACCAGTATCATGAACATCTAGGGTTAGAAGAACTCCTATTTTTGTAGGAGCAGATGCTTTCATCCTTATTGGGCGTACAACCACTGATAGCACATTTTGAGGCAACTGGTGAAACATCCTGCCACAATGAAAGAATCAAAATGTCAGCAAATTTTGCTACCCAAATAAAAATGAAAAATAAAAACAGCCACGGATGATTGATCCAAAGACTTAAAGACCTGGAATTCAAGAGCAGGACTACTTGGATCATTTCTGCTCAGAACTGCAATCCAGGAATGAAGCAAGTTACTCCTCTGTTTCTTTACTTATATATAAACACTAAGCTAAACTAAGTTAGCAATTGACTCACATTCACCGGAGGTGGCAACATCTTCAGATGGACGTGCACGAACTCTTACTCTAGAGCACGGTACCTCAACGTGTGTTTCACCTTCGTCATCAGAAAGGATTAAGCGGACACGTTTTCTACCGACAGCTGTCTGACTACCAGTAGATCTAGACATGCTTCTTGACGAAGCTTCGGTTCCCGTGGTAGAAATAATAGGTTTTGCTACGCCGGCAGTTTTTGGTAACACTGAGTTTTTACCACGGAGAAGTGAAACCAAGGGTACATCATCCTTTGACTCTTCTTCCCTGACGTAAGATTTTGGTCTGATGGAAAGGGGTTTACTTACTACTGGTGAACAGCTCACATCAGACCTACCATTTGACAATTGATTGTCTCCCTCTGTTTCCGTTTCAGAGCAGCAGTCAGCCACCATACCTTGTACATCGGGCTCTCTTGTTTTTGCCAGCTTCAATTTGTCTATCAGCGATTGCAACCTCCTACGTAGGAGCATCTTTATTTCAGCAAAATAAAACGAACTTGGTTTGAACAACAGAAATAATTTCAATGAATAGTTCTACACCTGGAAAGAAAATTAATCTATCCCAAAATGACAAAAGTTCAACTTGTGATATAGAAACCCCTCAGAATGCAAAAATCCAAATACTATTTTCTTTCTAAACAGCTATTCCGTGTTGACCAAAATTTGAAAACTTTCAGAAATGGTTAATATAGCTTGCATTACCTGGCTTCTTCAACATTGTCAAACCTTATCATATGGCTGTAATGCATATTCTCCAGTGCAGAAAGCTGGACAGAAGGAAGGTTTGCTTGAAGGGCAATCCTGTGAGATAATAATATATCATGATAAACATCACAATGTGGAAGCAATCATTCATGAAAAGGAATACCATCTTAATGAATCAAAATTTACATGCTAATATTACAATTTGTTGGCCTATATCATAAATTTAGCTTGGGAGTTCGCATTTACTTTTCATTATTTACAGGTCTTGCAGCAATTTCCATTGAATGCAAAAATACTGGGATATTTAATGCTAGGTTTCCAAGTGAAATCCACCCCAAGAAAGGAGAAACTTGCCTGTAACCCTCCTCAAATGCATCCAAAGCACCTGCCCAATTACCATCAGAGTCCAAAACATCTCCAATATTGATCTTTCCTAATGCTTGCCCCTGAAATCACTACCATTACTTTCCAAGAAAAAAAAAATCACTGTCATTTCATAAGATGAACCCACCACCAACTACAAAGTATAATGCTGCATATTCAGGTGCAAAACAGCCATGCATAAATTCCATAAATCAAGTTTACAGGAAAAAAAAATGATTTTTTTGCTATCCCATCTCTATTCCAGGCAATTTAAAGAAATGTGAATTCTCTAATTAACATAGTCGATTGTGGACTCCTAATTCTCCAAGAACATTCCTAGTCTAGTTATATTTTAATTTCCCACCAATTACAGCGGGTGTAGTACAATATATCTTGGTTAATTGTAGAACAAACACTGGACATACCTCCAAGTTGCCAATTGACTTGTATGTCTCCCAACTTTTTGTGTACCATTTAAGGGCTTTGTTGAAGTTTCTGAGCTTCTGGTATGATTCTCCGATGACTAGAAATGAATCACTCAGCTTTTCTTTGTCACAGAGTTCACTTGCTATTCTTTTCTTCCTTTTGGCAAATTCTCGATGCTAAACAAAAGATTTCAGGCAGTAAATCACATGACTGCAATGTATTAAAAATAAAAAAGCAAAGTAAAAGCTAGGACTTTCCGTCATGTAATCTCCCAACATCACCTTTGACATCAAGGGCAGAGCCAGCCTCTGCCCAGGATGGTCACCGGCCCACCCTCAAAATTGTTTGATGAAGATTGTATATATGTATATTTTAATGTACATATCCAAAAAAAAAAATATTTTTGTAGTGTCCACCCTCTAACTTTCATAGAGACCCTTATCTAAATGGTTATGGAGATGTTACGCACACGCTTCAAATAAATCCGAATAATGTTTTGATACTTTGGAGGTTATTTTTAAATATCTACGTCGAATTAGATTATTCTCACCAGAAGAAATTTAATGAGGGATCAAGAGTGTTAGAGAAAAATCAAGAGAAAAAAAGACACGATGGTCGATCTTACTACTTTTTGGTGACTTGTGTGACCATCTGACCAGCTGTAACTTCTTTTTTCCTGCAATCTGGTATGTCAGCTACGACACTTCCTGTTATTTTATGATCACTCTATGTCCTAATAACCATGACTTTTTTTGTGTGTTTAGCTTGCTTTCTTGCTTCAACTGCAACTGGCTCACTAAACATATCAAGGATTTCTGCAATTGGCCTTGATTAGCATGTTTGCAATTTTTTTGGTGTTCTTAATATCAAGGTGAAATTGCTTAAAAGTGTGGTCTACAATTTTATTCTATTTTCCTACAATTCTTTTTGCTGGTATCTTTCTACAATTGATCTTTATTTAGATGAATATAAAATTATAAATATATGTTTACTTTTACTGATACAAAAATTAATTAAAGCTTATAGTTAAGGCCCCCCCCCCTCATAAAAATTTCTGGCTTCACCACTATTGACATAGACAACTGAAAGGTGAACAATAGGAGGGATCACTTTAATCAGTTTACAAAGCTCAAGAGATAGCCATAAACACTGCACCTGTTTGCAAACCAATTGCCTAAATTGCTTGTAATTTGCATCATGGACATTTATATCACACACTACAGGGCAATCACTGAACAAGGGAAGGGGATCCTTTGAAGGTCTACAACTAATAGTGTTTTTAATTAGAGAAACTGACACAGTCATTGGTTAGGCTCCTCTCCACCAATGTCCAGTGCATAATTATCTTATGAGAGTCAAATACTCAGATTCTAGCCAGATGATCCATCACATCTGCTGGGCTCACCTCCAAAATTAGTGAAGTTCATTTGAGTGGGTCTAGGCTTCTAGCCATCAAATCTAGTAGAGTACTCCAAACATGAAACTTGTGAATATCACTACTGGCTCATGCACATACAGCTGAGGGTGTTCAAAGGACAACATTTGACGGTTAGAACTCACAGGACATATTGGGCTTGTGCATCGAACTGTGATTTCCACTTACAACTAAAGTAAAACAAATTTCTGTTCATGGTAAAAGGGGTGCTAGTAGAGGAGATAACTTTCAGGTCGTAAAAGCATGGGCAAAACTTTAGGGAAGCCAATCAAGTTGTTTCATATCTGGTTTCATCTTGTGTTCACATCGAGTCCTAATCAATGCTAACCCGACCTATTTAATAAATCTGGGTTGACCCTAATCCAATTTGCTTATTATTCGTGCCATACAATGGTCAACAAGATCAAACGAGAACCATGGCAAGGATCCCCTCCTTTCACAACAAGATCAATCAAACAGTCCTCCAACAAACAAAAGTTCTACTCGATCCAGGTGCTAGTAAAAACAAGTAAATGCTTAATTTATACATCACCAAGCCAAAAAATGTTAAAAAAAAACCTTTTCTGCGTAGATACTAATTAAACATGTTATTGTATCAAATGGAGTTATTTGTATTCGACACCAACCCGAACTATTTATAATTCATGTCAACATATCGTGTCATTTTTTGTCGTGCCAAGTAATAGTCGATCCTAATCCCCTAAGACGTGTCCTCGACAACCTAGCGGTTCTTTGGTCTCCGCTTTTGGGGGCGAGAATGCTTGGTTGCTAGGGTTTCCTTTTCCTCAACCAATTCAGTTGTGTCAAACCTGAGATTGGTCTAACATTTTGTTATGAGCTAGCTTGACAAATATGGATTGAAGGTAAAAAAGATTTGAGTTCAAGTGGCACACGACCTTCGATCGACCATAGGGTATATTCTACCTTTACCGAATTCATTCTATTGTAGTGTAACATAAAAAGCTCCTTCTCATGTTATATTTATTTGGTTTGGAAGTTTCAGAATGTTGTCATGTGATCTAAAGAGTCAGAGTCAATGATCCAGGAATTGCGGATGGAAGACAGTAAACAAGTGGAAGAGGTGCCTAACTAGGCAAAAGTAGCAGTGGAGGAAGATGGAATAACCTGTAGCCGAGACATGAACTGAACATACTCCTCTCGTGTGATAGTAACCAACTAAGAGTCAGGTGGAGCCAACCGAGATATGGGAGCAAGTAGAGAGGAAGTATCATCCTAATAGGAGACCTGATTGGCAGCACCAAATGGTTTTCCATGTAAATCCCAACAATAATCAACAGTAGAACCTCCAAGACCATAATGAGTGTAGGAACGAGGACCTCCGTGATTTCTTTGATAATATTCTATTGTTGTGGCTTCTTGTTGTTCATACTAAACTTTTCTAACACTCAGAGTAGCCCAATAGACAAGGCCTATTTTCTTCTCTTAATCTCGCCACCCCCTTGGTGGCCAATGCTGGCATTTCCTATGATAAAACAATATGGTACATGGAATGTTCCGTATCTCACCTTATAGGTGCTAAAAAAAATATAAGCTTTGCAAAGAAACGAGTATCCCCGTGTTGACTTCAAGTCATGTCCAAAATTTTCACCCCTATGCAAAATAGGGCAAATAAAGAACTAAATCTCTTGTGGGGTACAAATATTCTATAAGTCAAAGCTTCAAAATTTAGGATTCTTTGAAGACTAGCATTAGAAATCATTTGTGTTGATGGGAAAAACAGCAGTTCAATAAAATAATCAAATATGAAATATGAAGTTTATAATAAAACATACTTTCAGCCATGCGAAGATTAGGCTTGATTTTTCAATTAGACGATCAAGAGATGCATTCTGCTGCAGAAGACACTTCCTTTCAGCTGCTGTACGTCTAGCCATTTCCATATTTCTTGTCAGCTTCTTGAAATTCTGCTCTTCTTTCTTCAATTCATCCATTACCTTAATGGCTTCTTTTACAGTTCCAATATTCTGATCAATTTGACTGACCAATGCGTCCTCATCTTCCATGGATTTAGCAAGATCAATTGCCTTTTGATAGCAAAGAATAGCCTCGTCATACTTTTGAACTCTGTAATGCAATTCACCAAGATTGATGTAGCCCTTTGCCTCTCCTTGGCAATGCCCAATTCTCTTGCAAATTATTATGTCCTTCTCGATGTGCTCTCGAGCTTTATCCCACTTTCTGAGCTCCATGTAAACGTTTCCAAGGTTGTGATGGAGCCTACTACGCCCATCATCATCCTCAATCACCTCTTCTTCATCACATATCTTTAATCCTTTGCTAAGAATTTTCTGGGCTTCTTCCAAATTATCAAGATCGATTTCAAGCATTCCAATGTTATTATGGGCATCAATGCATTCCTTTACGAAGTAAGAATTGTTAGATGGTGGATTCTGCTTCAGTGTTTGAGCAAGTTTCATGGCAGATTTGAAATACTTTTTGGCATTCCGAACGGAATAATGGTCATCGTTGGATCTTAGGAACATTTCATGGTAAGTTCGACCAAGTTGGGTACTGGCTCTTTGTTGCTCAATGAGATCGTTCGCATCCTTGGCAAGCTCTAAATGCTTTTTCTGACCAAAAAACAAAACAGTGGGAAATCATAAAGTTGATGAACAGATCTGCAGAAGCTGGAAACCTAAAGAAAATTGCATATACTAAAAGACTGTCAAATAATAAAAGACTGCCAAGTAATATTGTTTGCAAATTAGAATTTAAAAGGCTCTAAGTAAAACAATTATGAAGTATCCAAAAGTCTTTCAGGAAAAAAAAGTGAAAATAGCTTGTGAGTCTGCAACCAAGCAAACCCTTACTACATAAGGTTGGACATGATTCCCAAAACAAATAAAAGGTGATCTCATGTACTGATTGTTTTTAATATCAAGAAGCAGCAAGCACGATATATTGGATATCAAAGAACTTCAAAATAACCACCTATTTGGAGTCACAAAGAAGAAACCAATTCTCCTATCAAATTACATTTTGCAACCCATGTTTTTTCACTACATGGTATACATCATTCCATTACACTAAATTGACGATTCAAAACAATTGTCTGCATGACAATTTCCCATGCAATGAATTCTAAACGTAAGTAGCTACGTTTCTTACTTTTGCGGCCAAGAAAATGAAGGAAAACAATGAAACTGTACATGAGTGAATCTGTTTTTTGTTTTAATGACCAGTGCAGAAGCAAACCGTTGATTTTCATTTATTGTCTATTCTTTCCATTTTTCTCAGCATTCAAACAGTATAAGATTAGAATACAGCAGAAACAATAAATACATACCCATTTCTGTTTCTCAAACATACGATTGAGAACACTCCGAATTGAATTGGGTTTTAACCATCTTATCTACCAACTCCTCATCTCCTAAACAGTGTCGTAACAAAAAAATTAAAACCCATCTAGTACCTGATAAATTAGGGCATCCTTGAAGTACTCAAGCCGTAAATACACTTCCCCAAGGCACTGACAAGTCGGAAGAAGCTGTTTCTCCGGCAGATACTTCACCGAAACCTCGTAATCGATTCGAAGCCACTTCAAAGCTTCTACATACTCTCCTCTGTTCTTCAGAATGTCGCCTATCACATTCGCCCACCGGGCCTCCTCTTGCCGATTCCCTTCGGCCTCCGCACTCCGGTACGCCCTCTTGGCGGCACTGAGCTGCGCGTCGCCGCCCCTCGCCATCTCTACGAGTGTTGGTGATTTGACCTTTTGGGGGGTTTGGATTTTGGAGAGTGTTGTCGTTTGTGTTTTATTTTTGTGTGGCGGTTTTGTGTTTGTTTGGAAATGTGTTGAAGTACTACTGGTTCCCGCCAAATTTTTTATGCGGGTTTGGACTTTGGAGTTTCTTTTGACCCGTTGTGTATGGTTGGTAGATCGGGTATGGGTTTGAAGTAATAAGGATTCGGAGCAAATAACACTTGGTGCCAAAAAATAAAAAATAAATATTTTTAAGTTTACACCCTACATTATCTATTTATCTACATCTATATTTATATTTATATTTATATTTTTACTATTTATAAATGTCAACATCTGTGATAAATTTTTGATTACTTAATTTATTTCTAATTATTATTGTAAAGTCAGTTATACCCACATATTTATTTTATCCAATTTTTATTTTTTATCCATATTTAACTTTTAAGTTCTTTTTGGCTTTTTTATAAGTAGAATTTGCCTGCTAAATTCTTTTGGATTCAATTATTAATAGTTTACCTACATACAACCTTTTATATTCTATTATTATTATATACATGTAGTTGTCAAATTAACTTTTATAGTCAAATATATATCATATTTAATTTTTTTTATATGCAACAATACCATAATAATATAAAGAAACAGTAGTTTACAATTTAATTAACCTCTTTGGCAAAAAAATATAATAAATAGTTAATATATTTATATGTACAAATAAATAACAATCTTACAATGAAGCTTCACTACAAATAAAAGAGGAAATGTTTAAAGTAGCCAGCAAAAAAACTAAAAAAATGACAGATTAGGTACTCAAAGGTAGATAAAATAAATCAATAAGTAAATTAAAAATTAAGTATTTGAAAAATAATTTATTATTCAATAAAATTATAAATACAATTTAATTTTTTTATAAAAAATTATTATTTAAATATGTTCAAGTGCAACGCACATCATGCATTGCTAGTATTATTATAAATAAGGATGACAATCAAATTATATTGTTTATATTTGAATGGTATTATTTTAGTTTGTATCAACTACTGCGATTTAGATTAACTAGTTATTACCTGCACCTGAAGATACAAATTAATAAAAAATGATAAATAATAAAACATATTTGTATTCATATTCAAAATCAAATCACAATTATAAAGAATACATAAAGAAATTAAGCATCGTTTTGTAGTAAGGGTAAGAAGTGGTAGACGGTAGTAGTGGTGGTAGAAAACGGTGAAGGTTTATGGTGGGTGGCAATGATCGTGGTAACGACGATGATGGCGGTGGTGGTGGTGGTGTGGTCGTGGTCGTGGCGATGGTGGCGACGACGACGACGGCTATGGTGGTGGTGACATTGATGGTAGTGGCGGCGGTGGTGATAGAGGCAGTGATGGAACAGTTTCAAACACATTTTTTTATAAAAATATTTATGAGAACTAATTTTTTAAAATACTTTTAAAAAGTTACTCCAAACACACCCTTAGAGGTCTATAGTTCCTATTAAATTTAGAGTATTAATATTAACCGTTATATTAACTTTAAAGTAAAATTTAAAGCAATTTCAACTACAAATAACAAAAGTCATTTTGTTTATCTTTTGAGATTTGAATTATAAACTATTTTATTATAGATAAGAATAATCTATATACTAGAACTCTACAATTAAGATTCTCTTCCCCTTCAACCAAAATAATCACGTAAACGTTTTATATTAACTTAAAATCTGGTTGGTTCAAATGATAGGAGAACTGAGTTAAAAATATTTAATTATATGAAAATTCATAAAATTCTAGTTTAAGAACTAAAAATAATAAAAAAAATTTACATTTTCTTCTTGTTATAGTAGTTATTCAGGTGAAAATAAAGTTTATTCCTTTTTAATGCTATCGTAATCCCTTTTTAAATTTGTGTTAGTAATTCAAGTTATTTTTAAGTTCACATGAAAAAATTAATTTACCTTAATAGTCTGTTTGGTAGGGAGAATGAAAAGTAGGATATATTTTCTATCATTCAAGGAAGAAAAGTATGAATGATATATTTTTCTTCCTTTGTGTTCAGTTGGATGGATGAAAAATAAAAATGACTAATTTTTGTTTTAATTTTTTTTTTATGGCTAAGATTAAGGGTGACAATCGAGTCGTATCGTATTAGATTTGTGTTGAATCATAAAATTATGAGTCTTTTATATTTCTTGTGTGATTGTCAAGTCATTTTCAAGTTCATGTCGAATTATAATCAAGTTGATGTCATAAAATTCGCGTCGAATTCAAGTCGTGTTATCGTGTTGAGTCGAAAATTTTTATCCCTAGTTAAAATGAATAAAATATTTTTTTTAATTTAAAATTTTTAATTTAATTTATTTTTTATATACATATTTTATCATTGTATTTTTATATGAAATTAATATATACATAATATATAGACAAATAAGATACATATCAACACAAATAATTAACTTTTTATCCACTTTATTTCTGATTTTAGAGGGATTAATTTTTGTGAATTGAAAAGAAAGTTAATTCATCCATTTGTTCATCCTTCCTATTTTCTTTCCTTATCAAACATGATGTTTTATTTATCTTCTAATTTTTCATTTTTCTATTTTTCTATCATACCAAACAGAGGATAACTTTCTAATTTGTATCGGATTCATATAGTAATTATATGTCATTCGATAATTGTCATTTGTCACCTTGACTACGGAAAAATCAACAAAAGCGGAGACGAGGGACGGTGTGTCAAAACAAAAGGCGCACTATAAAAACAACAAAACCAAATAAGACTACTCCACAAGTCCTACGGCAATTACTTGGCTTGAAGAAGTATAGGTATCCATCAATGCAGTGGATCAAACTCGTGTTCTTTTTTATTTATTTATTCTTTTATTGATACGGAGTGATAGAGCAACGATATTAATTTGAAGCTCTACATGAAGACGGAGGATGGACAACAAAAACATAGGATGCTTATTCCTTTACCAACAATAATTAGAACAATATTCCGTATATTTCATAACATAGTGAGCAATATGGTAATCCGTGCTCACTTGAACCTTCTTTTTTTTTTTTTTTTATTTTATTGAAAACATGAAAATAAAAAATTATGTTTGGTAACCACTTCAAGTTATATACCAATTATTAACTTTATATTATTTCCTATTATAACCTACAACTCAAAATTCCTTATCCCAATGTATCCACTAACGCAAGACATAAATCATTAAACATAGCAAAACATACCATTGTTCAACATTATACCAAATATAAACATTAGCAAGTCATTATCACATAACTAAAATTTTAATAATCTATATCTATATACTACTATAAAATAATCTTAGTAAAAGAACTAATATCTCTTATATCCTACCCTTTCATATTCTTCTCTTTAATTTCCCTTTAATATTAATTTCAAATTAAATTCCTATATATCTATATTAATCTAAAATATCAATTAATCTCAAAACTTGTATTATTCTTTTTTATCCTTTAATAAGTTAATTATAGCCTTGTAATCCAGGCAAACTAATTAGGTTATTAAATTTACTACGTTAAAGACCAAAAAATACTATTATGTTAAACTCAACAACCCTTCATCTCTTTGTCTTTGTCAGTTGAAGTTCTTCCCCTTTGTTTGTTGCCTAACCTCTCTCACTTGTATTAGTGGCTCTACATATTTGTGAAATTAATGGCAACATCAGTTGAATCCGAATCAATGCGACCCTATGAATTTTGAAAATAAATATTTAATCGTTTATTGTTTATATGGTATCTTCTATATCCTCAGCAGACAATAAGCCGTAAAAAATCGCTCGCCGGTCATCAAAGCAAAGAGGCCTTAAAATTTCCCAAATTTAGACTCTTGCTTCTGTTGTTTTCGTTGTAAAACTTTTGCTGCTTCCAATTTGCCCGTTTCATACATCCATTTCCCCCACATCCCAGTCGGTGTAATTCCACTTCAAAGTGCATGTATCAGTTGTTATTGCATATCTAGGTAGGTAGTCTTTTTCCTTATGGTATTTATATTTTCTTATTAAATTTATATTGATTCATTTGTTCTATTAAAGTTCAAAAGTTTTTTAGTTGAGAGATCACGACGTGGAGAAGTCCTAACTTCTGTTTGTAATTCATGGTTTTAGGTGTATTTTTATGTCGCTTATTTATGATTTATTTACTAATTTTCACTGAGCTAATGATTCTTGGATATGAGACTAAAAAATTCTTCAAACTTTGAGTTGTTGGATTTTTAATGTAGCAATTGATAGCTTATGCTTCAACTATGGGCACTCTGCTAGGCATATGAGATAGGACAGCTAAATTTGGATAGAATCTTAGTTGGGTTCCTTTTGGTAAAGGTTGAATTTTGACATAATACCATTTGAAACTAATTGTCTGGAGTGTTCGTTCTATTTTATAGGCTCACACTTACAAACATCTACTTATTTAATGGGGCTGAATCTTTTTTCTTTTTTCTTTTTCTTTTTTGTATTTGTATTTGTATTTGTATTGAATCTGAAGGTAGTGATTGGAAAGTCTAGATGCAGAGATACATTTTTAATGGGGTTGGAAGTCCAGCAAGATTGGTTTTACTCTTCATGTCATACATGTCTTGGGAGCAATATTTAATATTCTTACTATCTTCTGATCAACATCGTTACTAGAAACTTTCACATTGTTGTGATGTTATTTCCCGAGCTTTATTTATTCATATTTTCTTGTTTTTTGGGGCAGATGCTAATAAATTTGAGAAGGTTTGCTTCACATAAATTAGAAACCCATCCCTCTTTCAAATTCCCAATAAAAACAAAAATGAAAAAGGAATTGTAGACATTCTAACCATGTTTCCTACTATTTTGTAGGATCTTCTTATATGAAATCACAAGATGCTTCAAGTGCCTAAATGAAATATAACAAAATGGGCACTCACACTACTCCCTTTTCTCTGATAACTGTAAAAGGAGCAGCGCATGCTTGCTCAACCTTCAC